TTATCTATATAGGCTTTACATTTAAGTATATTTCTTATGGTTCATATAGCTGAGTCTTGGTATGGTTGGGGGGGTTGGTTTTGTTTGCCTATTGTTGTTATTTTGATTTTTCCAAAAAAAAGGTCTCATGATGTAACCTTGGCTGGCTTACAACTTACTGTTTATCACAATTAATAAGTGGTTTGCCTTATATATGCATAAGTCGTGGGGATAATACTTTTGGTGGTTGTATTTCAACCACAAATGGCTTGCAGGCACACTAAGCACCTCATTCAGTTTAGTTTACATATATAGCTAGTCTATGCTTTTTATTTATTTCACAACGTGGGGTTAAATAAGACCAAGTACTGAATATAGTGTGGATTCATAGAAAGTATTCTATAAAGTGCTTGCATTGTTAATTAAATTTGAGAAATGGACTGCTCCTTAAAAATAAATTGCTTTGTAGACCAGACTGGTCTCAAACTTGAAGCCATCCTCCTGCAATGGACTCCTGAGTCCTGAGAATATAGATGTATGCAATCATACATGGCTAGGGACTTTTTTGATCCACTCTAGTGGTAATCTCTGCCTTTTGACTGGTATGACATTTGAAGTGATTATTGGTATGACTGGATAAATATCTACCATATTTGCTGCAGTTTTCTTTGGATTATCCTTGTTCTTTCCTCCTAATTTGTCCTCCATACTTTTTCTTCTTTATATTGTTTTAAGCATTTTCTGTTATATTTTCTCTTTCCTCAGTATATCAGTTATACTTTTTCTATATGGTTTAAGATTATGCAATATCCTACAATAACAAAATATTTCCAATTCCTCTCTCATCCCATGCATCATTGCTACCATTCATTTCACATGTACATAAGTGTGTGCATTGTTACTGCTACAATTTTGAACATTATACTCTAGATCACTTTTATTTTACCATCACTTACTCATCTTTTATGTTCTATTTTTCCTTTGTGTAGATCTGAATTTCTGAACTATATCATTTTTTTTTGTTGCTCTGAACAGCTTTAATATTTCTTGCAGGACAGACTTACTGTCAAAACTCCCCCTCAGTTTTTATTTAGCTGAAGAAATCTTTATTTCTTCTTAGTTCCTTTTGAACATAATTTCACAGGGCACAAAATTCTACATTCGTGACATATTTTGCTAAAATATTTTCCTCTGTTCTCTTGCTTTATGTAGTTCTGAGAAATCCTATGTAATGTTTTTGTTTACTGCTCTATAGGTGAGGTATTGGTTTTGTTCCAGCCTATTTTAATAAATTTTTCTCTATTTTGATTTGCTGAACTTTGAGTAGATTTGAGGACATTCATCTTTAATGTTCTATGAACTTCATGGATCTGTATGTAGTTCTGTGTATGTCACAGGTTTGGGAAAATGTTTAGTTATGATTGCTTTTTCTCTTCTCTTTTGGCTTTGCCATTATATATGCTTACACTTTCTGTGTTTGTACCAGGTTGCTGGATATCCTGTTATTTTTCTTTTAGTTATTTTTCTCCATACTTTTGTTGTCTTCTAGATGTTTATATAACCCAAAATTCATATGCTGAAACCTACTCACTACTTAGGTAGTGGAACTTTGGGGAGGTGCTTTACATTAGTATCCTCATGGAAGAGGCCCCAGAGAACTGCCTTACCCCTTTCTGGTGTGATAATACTAAAGATACCACTTATGAACCCAGAAGAAGGCATTCGCCAAACGCAGAAGATCTGGTGCTTTGATCTTGGATTGCCCGGCTTCTGAAACTGTTAAAAAATACATTTCCATTGAGCATAAGCTACCCAGTCTTTGGTGTGTTTTTTAAAATAACATCCTAGATGGGCTAAGGCATGTTTTCAGTTATAGCCTTTTACATTTTTGAATATTCAATCTCAGAAATTCTTTCCTCAACCATGTCCAGTCTACTAATGGCCTGTCAACAGTCTTCTGCCTGTTATAGTGCTTTTGATGACTAGTATATTTATTCTTCCTTAGAGTTTCTAATTCTGCTCTTATTATTCATCTGTCTCTCTCATTTGCCTATTTTCACCAACATCCTCACCATATCTAACTCAGTTTTAATGTGTCTTTGTGTTCTCAAACTGGTCTTTGTGATTTATTAGTCCTTATAAATTATTGTTAAATATCAGATAGTACTAATTGGGTATAATGAACTCTAGCAGATAGACCTTTGTTTGTGTAGAGGAGACAAGGAGACTCATTTACCAGTTCTATGATTAAGTCTTACTTTTTTTTAGACACAATCTTATGTAGCCCTGGCTGTGGATTGCCTCAAAATTCTAATCATCCTGCCTCCACCTCTTGGATGGTGGGATTAAAGGTGTGTGCTACAATATCAAGTTTTATGTGGCACTGGGGATTGAACCCAGGGCTTCTTGAATGCTAGGTAAGCACTCTACACATCTGAAATACATCCCAGCCCTAAGTCTCAGTCTTTAGATAACCCTGCGCCCATGGACTGTGAACTTCACCTGTGCTTCTGAAATTTGTTCCTAGGCCCTTAACTGGAACAAGATGTCTGGAAAGGTCTAAAGCAGTGGTTCTCAACCTTCCCAATACTGTGATCCTTTAACACAGTTCCTCATGTTGTGGTGACCCCCAACCATAACATTATTTTCATTGCTACTTCATATTGTAATTTTGCTACTGTTAGGAATTGTAATGTAAATATCTGATATGCAGGATATCTGAATATGACCTTTGTGGAGTCATGACCCACAGATTGGGAACCACTGATCTAGAGTTAAGTATGATCCTTTCTTCAGTTCATTAATGCTATTTTAAAACTCCAAAAGGTTCTAATAAAATAGTTTTTCCTAGAGGTAGGTCTTGTTAAGAATAGAATGTTCTGGCATTTCAAACTAAAAAACTGTTCCTCTCCCACTGTGAAGCAGAAAGAGGTGTTTTTTTTCTTTTTTCTTATATTCACTGTGAGGACCTAGTAGAGCTCCCTGCTGTGGAATAATGCTTTTGTACACTGGTTTAATAAAACGCTGATTGGCCAGTAGCCAGGCAGGAAGTATAGGTGGGATAAGCAGACAAGGAGAGTTCTGGAAAGAGGAAAATTGAGTCAGGAGACACCAGCCCACTGTCCAGGGAGCAGCATGTAATGGTACACAGGTAAAACCATGGAACACATGGCAACATACAGATTAACAGAAATGGGCAGAGTTTAAGTGTAAGAGCTAGTCAATAGTGAGCCCGAACTAATGGCCAAGCAGTTTTAATTAATATAAGCCTCTGTGTGTTTACTTGGTTCTGAGCGGCTGCAGGATTGCAAGGCCACAGGAGCCGGACAGGATCAGGAAAACTTCAGCAACAAATGGTATCCAACATGGGGCAAGAATTTCCACCTAAAATCTGAGAAAGCTTAAGAAGAGATTATAAATGTAGTTAAGAGTACCTTCCTAGTTCATGTTGCTCATGGTAGGCCCAGGTACAATGATGTGTCCCCTGGCTATGGCAGGTTCACAGTATGCAGGATGGAGCTACAGCATAGTAGATTCCCACCGAGTTACACAGAGGTTTCTACAAGCCATGAAACATGGTGCATGGTGGATATAGCTTTTGCTACTAAAAAAAAAAAAGGTTTCTGGGCTACACCCTGCTTTAATGGAGGCATAGACCCACTGTTTCCTACAGTGCATGGAAAGCCTGGTTCCCAGAGCTGGCAGTAATGTAGTTCTACCATGTTGGGAAGCTGAGGTGGGCGGAGCCAGCAGCCAAAGCTGCCATTTTAGTCCTAGTAATGATGGGGTTTAAAGCAATAGATTCACAATAAGGCAGATTCAGATGGAATAAGACTTTAAATGGTTTACAGTGTGTGTAAAAATGTACCTAGGTTTGGGAGAAGAAAATGAATATAGATAGTTATATAAAGAAATAGTTTTAAAAAATAAAATCTTTGAAGAGACAGTAAAGGAATTATAAAAAATAAGCCACATAAAGATGGATATTATACAGAGAATCTGGATTGTGTTGTCTTTGATATTTTTAACTGCAGAAAGACATTTGATTGTAAAGGCTGCTAAATTAAGCCAATGTATATATTTCTGGAGATTTTAACTTAATGGCTTATCCATACTGAGCCTCCAATAATTCAGTTTGTTTCTCTACCCTGGCACTAGTTCTCATGAGGGTTTCTGCTCATGGCATTCAGGTTCTAGATGTGACTTGTTGTATTCAGTGTCTCAGTCTCTAATTTGAGGAGTTGTTTGCTGAATCATCTCAGTGCTCAGAAGACAGTAAGAAGAGTTCTTAAGACAGGCATGGTGGTGCACGTCTTTAATCCCAGCACTTGGGAGGCAGAGGCAGATAGATCTATATTTTCAAAGCCAGCCTGGTCTACACAACAAGCTCCAGGCCACCAAGGCTACAGGCCAGCCTGGTCTACATAGCAAGTTCTAGACCAAACAAGGCTATGAAGAGAGACACTGTATCAAAAAAACAAGCAAAAAAGAGTTGTTTGTTTTCTATTTGTTCAGCTTCCTACTCATTGTCAAGATGCAGGGGAGATGTTTTTGTATGCTGAAAGTAGAAATATTATCTTGGTTTATGCAGTTACTTTTCTATAATATTAGTGAATACCAGTTTTTTTTAAATGTACCTTTTAACAAAATTTTTGTGTAGGCAGTTATCGCTTTACGGCAATTAGTTCTCTATTTGATCATTACAGTGCTCTTATCACTTGCTCCATTTCAATGAAAGTAATGGGTGGTACTTGCAAATAGTTACATTTGATTTGGAAAATGTAAACCACAATGAAGATATTTGTGTATTAAAATCCTGCTTCATTTATGAAAGCAAGACTTTTTGGTTTTGTGTCCATCTTTCACTACCATGGACAACTAGAACTGACCTACAATTCCTTATCAAACAGCTTTTTTTATACACATTAATTTAAAGTACCATGTTTTCATAGCACTCAGATGTACCATAAAAACATCTAGACATAAAGTTTAACATTTTCCGTTTTCCATTGACTGTTTAGCCTTAGTATCACAGGCAGAAGCTCTGAAGGAGGAAAATGACAGCCTCCGTTGGCAGCTGGATGCCTACCGGAATGAGGTAGAACTGCTCAAGCAAGAACAAGGCAAAGCCCACCGGGAAGATGACCCAAACAAGGAACAGCAGCTGAAACTTCTGCAGCAAGCTCTTCAAGGGATGCAACAGGTACGGGCAGTTTGTTTTCCTGTGCCATTTCGAAGGATAGCAGCAGCTCTTCATTTGCCAAGAGGTGTGCTGAAGCAAAAAGATCAGAAGTTACTTCAGACTATAGATATTGATGGAGATCTTTATAAAAACCCTCAATTACTTGCATATGATAAAATGCTTATCAGTAAGTATTAAAACAACAAAATATAGTCTTTTAGAAGAAACAACAAACATTCACTCTTGATTTTCATGGAAATGGGGACCTTGTAGTAAGTATCAGTGCTTTGAGATTGTAATACCGGTTTGTTTTTTATTTTACTTTCACAGTAATTTATGTGAATTTAAAAGCACATAATTCCAAGTATAAAAATTAAAGTAGAGGGATGGAGAGACATGACTTCACGATTAAGAGTGCTTGCTACTCTTGCAGAGGATTAGTATTTGGTTCCCATCACCCACACTGGATAACTAACAACCGCCTCTATGTTCAGCTTCATGGTGTCTGATGATCTCTTTTGGCCTCCATGGGTGCATGTGTAATAAAAAATAAAATGGCAGTCAGGATGTAAAAACAAACAAATAAATAAATAAATGGAATGCGTGCTAAAGATTAATTTGAATAAAAAAAAAGAAATAATTAAATCCAATGACAACTGCATTCAAATGAAACCTCATGAATAATAACCTCATGGTCAATATCTCGAAGTTTGATGTAGCCATCACTACAGTGAGCCTCCTATTTAAAAGCTTTCAACACCTTCTTTGATTAGAGTGAAGAACTAGTGCTTCTAGAGAAAGGATATGATCATATTCTGTCATGACAATCTACCAACCATCTTCCATACATTTTAAATTTTGCAGTACATTTCAACTCTGTGCCTTGAAATTATCTAGGGAAAACTAATTGCTGGTTGGAAACTATAAATGATGAACAGAGAGTCCCTTCTGGCACTGGCATTGCTGTGTTATTACTTCTGTCACCATTGTCTTCCTGTGTGACAAGTATTATCACATTAATATTTCACCTTTCCCATTAGCAAAATGTGTGAAGTAATGCTTACCTTCCTTTTATTGTCACCACAGAGTTTAATTAGAATACATAAATTATATCAGAGATCTTTCTACCAAAAAAAAAATGTGTCCCTGTAGCTACCCTTCAGAAGGCTTTGACAACATGCATTGAGCCTTGTTTTTTAGCTGATGGCCTTTTGCAAGTCTGAAAATAACCTTGGGGACATTTTTATCATTGTTTCTCTCTTCTTATGTTGCTTTTGAAACCATTACACATAAAACAGTTCAATCACTTAACATGCAAAGATCTCAGCAAGAGGTCTCTACCTCCTCAAAATTAATTTCATTCATTTTGATTATTTTCTCTATTGGGAAAATAGTATTATAACGAATGAACAACATTTTCCCATTTTATCTCCAAAGATTTGTAGTAAATATTGATTTAGGTAATGGAGTATCAATCAGGGTTACCTGGCCTGCTTTTAAATTTAACTCCGCTAATTCATATCTGAATGGCCTTAGGAAAGGTCACATGAATTGTTGCACATGAGTCCCTTAGCACAATGCTTACTTAGTACATACTGGGAATTTGATAAATAGTATTTGTTATCATTACTGATATCAATAAATCCAGTTCCTTGGCTACTAATATGGAAGGTAACATATGTGAAATTTGAATTCATGACTATCTTACCTCACAAGTCAAATTTAGCATGCCAGATGACTTCACAAAAATGTTTTTCAACATTAAGTTCATGTCTCCACAATAATTAAGATGCAGTTTGTACAATATTAACTGCATGCTCTGCTTCCCTATGGCCAGGACAAAGAAGAAGCTAAATGATTGTATTTATTAGTTTCTCTGGTTCTTTATAAAATATAAACAAGTTCAGAAGAAATATCTAAGAACCAGATTTTCAAGGAGAGAAAAATATCTTGATTTTCCAAAGATTCTTTTGCTCTATGTGGAAAAAGTACTATTTGTAGAGGGGGAAGTGGGGCTAGTCTACCTGATAGCTAACCTCAGCAAGGGATTGTGCATGAAGTGTGTAGCCTAAATGAGTAATGTCATTATTTGTAATCTTTCATGAAGCATCTGCTCAAAGTCCAAGAGGAATACAAAAAGAAAGAAGCTGAACTTGAAAAACTCAAAGATGACAAGTTACAGGTGGAAAAAATGTTGGAAAATCTTCAAGATAAGGTATATGAGTCTTACGTCAATCATTCCCTTCCCCGCCCCCACCCTTCAGTGATAATGAAAATGCCCTAGAAGTTTCTGAAAACACTGCTGGTTGGGAATTCAAAGTCCCTGTCAGTGGTAGTTCTTGTATCAAGGGCTTTGAAGTACTTAGCATTTCTGAAGGTTCTGGTTTACATGCATTCCAAGTGTCAGGTTCCTCCATCTTCCCTGTTGAAGAAGATCTGACTGTGCACTTCTTCCTTGCTTCATCTTCTCACACCAATAACAACAGAGAAAGCCCATGTGTTCTTGTTTGCTTCCTTATTGCTGTGATAAACATTATGACCAAAAACAACTTGGAGAAGGGTCTGTTTTTCTTTACAGCTTACAGTCCATCATGGAAGGAAGTCACAGCAGGAAGTCAAGACAGGACCCTGGAGTTAGGGACTGCAGCAGAGACCATAGGGAAATGTTGTTTACTGGCTAGCTCCCCATCGCTTGCTCAGTTTGCCTTTTCTACAACACTAGGACCACCTCCCAAAGGTGGTACCACCCTCAGTGGGCTGGGCCCTCTCCCATCAATCATTAATCAGGAAAAAGTGCCCTACAAACTGTCCTACAGGGCAATCTGATAGAGGCAATTTCTCATTTGAAGTTCCATCTTCCCAGATGAGCACACCTTTAACTGAACATTCCATTAAAGCAGAAATGCAGCTAGAGCATTGACACTTCTTTACACCTACTCTATGTGATCATGAGCAGCCACAGGTCAGAGTAACAGCCAACACCAAGTCAGGCTTGGTGGTACACACCAGAATCCCAAAGCTCAAGAGATGGAGGCAGGGGGATCAGGAGTTAAATGTCATCCTTACCTACATAGCAAGTTAGGAGCCAGTCTGGGGTACATGAGACCCTGTCTCAAACAAACAAACAAAAATAGCCAACACCAAAATGGGGGAAGCCTTGTAAAGAAACAAGGAGACACAGTTTTCTAAAGTCAGATAATAGCAAAATAGAAGGGAAGGTGAAACTTAATAGTGAGAGCCTGCTGCATAAAGAACACGGTGAAGACACCTGGGAGAGTCTATTTAACATTTGGATATGTCTGTGTGTCACCCGAGAGTCAGGTGTGTCCTTTTAGATGTATAAAGTCTCCTGATGTCTGTGTGTCATACCTCTCCAGTCTCATATGCCTCAGTACTCAGCTGAAGTTATACTCTAGAAAAAAATGACTCATTAACCAGAACTCCCTGCTGTGGATATTTGAGAAGGAAGAGAAAACATTGGGGCTTGGACCAAAAGTCCAACATCAGCAATGGTACAGTTCTTCAAGAGCTCTGCTAATGATCTTCTTTGCTCAGCTCAGGAAGGCAGAGCACATACAGGCCCTGGGTGTGTTTACCAGCATGGGAATGTGCCCCAGAGAGACATTAGGAACTGGCAACCTTGGTGTAGTTGAAACAAATGATTGAAAATGTTTTCTTTCAGAGGCCATTTGCAATATGCTTTTAATTCTTCCACATCATAAAATCAACTCACTTTCCACTTTTGTGGGTGCTATTAAAGAAATGAGCACAATCCCAGAGAAATTCATTTATCAAGCATTTAATTGAAAAGTGCCAAAGCTGCTGTACTATCAGGACTTTCCTCATTGTCCCAGAGCTGCAACATAGCTCTATTTCTCTTCCTGTATAAAACGCACTGTGCAGCCAGAAGACCCTAGATAGACAAGGGGCTATGGTGCTGCTATCGTGCTTCCCATCACTCTTTAGATTGCCATTGCAAATTGACTTAAGCACATTTTTAGTAGAGGCTGCTTTCTGCTTTGTGGAGGATTTTGTTTAAAGAAACAAGAGGTCAGGTGGCACAGAAGAAACTTGTCATATTGTGCTTAATGACACGTGTTTCTCATCTCGAATATACCACAAAATGACAGCTAAAGAAGACAAGAGAGAGCCAACTGATAATCAGAAAACAGTGGGCCAGATTTTTTTCCTGTCATTTCAAGCAAAGCTTCTTTTAGAAAAAATCGTGACAGATCATTACAAACTGATGTTCTCTGTGAAGCTGATCTGTGACCAAATATTTCAACCTGAAACAATTAGGTTAAGAAGCAAAAGACCATCACATTAGACTACAAAAATAATTTCAGGTTGAAAGGCAAGCAGTAAGTTTTGGTTATGAGGGCTCTGTTAGTTGCTTTTCTTTGGGTTTCTTGACAATAAGCCACAGTATGAGCTATTTGCAGTGTTTTGAAATATAACAGTGTGACTTACATCTATTATACTGGTGGAAAGAACTACCTCCTTGAATCTGCTAGTGAAGTTCAAGAAAATAAATGCCAGCATGATAAATTTGAAATCAGATTCAGCTGAAGAACTGAATTTAGCCATTCAAAATGGCTAAGACTTCTCAGAAAATCTTAATATCTTAAACTCAATCTGTTAAGTGCCCACACTTCAGAAATGGCTTACTGGCTCACTTAAGGTTGTAAGGGACTTAGAAGCAGATGTGAAGCCCCTGCCTTAGAAATAAGCCAGGGCTTTAAATCAGATGTGGCATAAAACAGATGTCTTGCAGCATACATAGACCATTCACTTCTTCCAAGGCGGTACCTAGCGAGCTTTGAAGACGCTTTAAAGGACACAGAAGTGCAGCCCCTGCTGAGAGCCTGTGGAAGGGGAGAAGTGACAGAGTGTCTAAGTCCACCATGGTCTGCCCCCACCCCTGCCCAGCATTCCCCCAACACCTCTCTTTACAACAGTAGAAGACTGAAACCGTGAGACTGATGCAGGAATCTCTTAGATTCCTTCCTCTGACAGCTCTTCCTTCATCTACACAATGTAGAAAGGAATTTTTCCACACCCAAAGATAGAAAGGTCCACAAACAGTGTAGGAACACTTTTCAGATTCAGTGCCTGCCGGGTATGGATTTCACCTGAATATCTCATAAAACCAAACTGCTAGACTCAGAAGAAGTTTCCACAACAAAGAAGGCAACTGACAGTTGATACTTTTATTCATGGTCATTTCTGACTATAAAGCCAGAAATATTTTAACTAATAACAGAGAAGAGAAACAGAGTCTCTAGTCTATAGGTAAAGGTTCTAATTTCTAGTCCAAAAGCCAGCACTGATGCCTAAGTAGATTGGGTACTTCACAGATTTTCTGTTCAGATGTGGGACTTACCATAAGCAAAGTATGGATCTAATGTTGAGAGAGAGAGACAGAGAGACAGAGAGACAGAGAGACAGAGAGAGAGAGAGAGAGAGAGAGAGAGAGAGAGAGAGAGAGAGAGAGAGAGAGAGAGAATGAGTGGACTCTCCCATTTCTGTTTCCTAGCAATGCAGTCATAGCAAACTTACCCAATTTATCCTTTCCTTGTTTTCCTCATCTGTATGATGGAGATAATACATATTTAACAATATCTACTATGTAATACACGAAAGTGTAAAGTCTCCTTTCCAAGACTACTTATTTAGAGCTAAGAATAATGAAGCCAGGAAAACACAACTTGTGAAAATAAATTTTTACAACTTTCTGCATTTTGAAGTCACATAAAGATATTTTGGAACCAGTGAGTTGGCTCAGCTGGTAATGGTACTTGCTGCCAAGCCTGAAATAAGTGAGTTCAATTCCCAGGACCCACATGTGTACCATGGTACACACATACACACAAACACACACACACACACACACACACACACACACACACACACACACACACACACCCCAAATAAATGTTTTTAAAGGATAGCTTGGATTATCTGTGGTGTTTTTGTAATTTGTATTTTCAGTAATCCAAATTAGACTATGTTGTTTTGATGGTACTGTGATGGTTTTGTGGACCTATTGCTGGGCACACACACCTGTCATCCCAGCTACTCAGAAAGCTGAGGTCGAAGGATCTTGTATCTGGGAGTTTCAGAACAGACTGGGCAACATAGTGAGAATGTATCTCTCATCTTTTAATAAAAGTTATCTGTTGTGAAATTAATTGAAACCAACTCTTTGGCCACATAAGGTGAACTGACCCAGGAAGCATGTTATTCCCGCAGGAAAACTGTGCTTCTAGACTGTGTGCATCAAGCCAGGAAAGTGACCACCCTCCTGAGAAGACCATGGCCGGCAGTCCTATCAAATCTGAACGTGAAGCACTGCTAGTGGGTAAGGAAGCCAACACACACACAAAACCCGTAAGGTGTACAGAAAGACAGCAAGGGGTATTTAAGAGTAAAGCGTCTGCCAAGCAGTATGGAGTACGGTGGTGTGACCCGTCCCGCGGGCCAGGTTATTGGGGAGACCCGAGGAGGCACCTCCTGAAAGATCAATGGGGGTGAGAGAGAAAGGAGACCAGGCGCATAAGGGAAGACAGAGTCAGTCTGAGTCGCGTCAAGGTCTCGTTTATTGACTGGGTATTGAGGCTTATAAGCAGGGCTTCAGGCAGGGAGGGGGAGCAGGGGAAGCAAAAGGAGAGAAGAATGGAAAATTCCTAAGGAAGGGTGAGGTCTCTTTGGTCCCAGGCCCCAGAAGCTGGCTGATTAGCACATACTCCAGGAAGTTGTACAGCCCGCGGTTAGGCCAGGAACCTGTTTTTTGCAAGGTTTGATAAAGTAAGGAAGGTCACACAAAATTCAAGACACAGCTGTCAGGAGTCGGTCTCCAACAGTGGTGCAAGAACTCAGAGTTCAAAAGGGGATAGGGAAAGATCAAGGACATTTTCCACAGAGATTCTATGAACAGCTCCAAGGCACTTCTGGCTCCTTGTTGCCACTGTCTTGTTAAGTGTGTCAATGTCAGCATTATACCAAGAGTGGGTCAACAAGAGAAGCACACTGTAGTTTTTCCATCTCTCTACAAGGAGAGAGGCCCTTCCCCATGCAATCAGAAGGCTAGTACAGACCCTGCCGAGTTTTCCCAGATCAGCCTCCATAGCAAGTGTCTGCCTTTCAAGTTCTGTGCTATTGACTGAGTCATTTTTATTCAGGACACTACCGACACCAAATGAAGGGATGTTTGTTTTTACTTCTTGACACAGCATATGTTCCTTCCATCACCACTTTTCCAACTCTCCAACACCAAGTATGTATTTGACCACTTTATTCAATTCAATTTGGATGTCAACTAGCTGAAGTTACGTTCCACAGGTTTAAAGACTCAGTCTCACAAATCAGCCCTCACTTTAGATACCAGGCTCAAACAGCAGATCCCAAAATGTGTTGGTCAACACTGCTTTACACATAAGAAAAGGCTTATGTGGGTGTTTCACTCCATGATTGGTTGGCACTGTTGGTGCTTTGGGGCCTGCAATAAAGCAGCACATCATAATCGAAACGTGGCAAAATCATTTACCTCATGGCCAGGATAAATAACAGACAAGAGAGAGAGAGAGGCTCTAAGAACCCACAGCCCTTTTAAAAAGCATGCTTTTGAGCCTGTCCAGTGGGCTCTACCTCTTAAAAGTAGTGCCACAGGATGGGGACTTACCTTTATCGCATGAGCCTTTGGGTATCATTCTAGATCCAGACTATAAGTCACACACTGGCTGCAAAGTCAGGAACTTCCCAATACCTCACCAACCAGCTTCTATAGCTTGTTAGAACAACTCACAGAACTCTGAGAAGTACTTGACTTTACTATTGCCAGCATGTTGGAGAGCAGCAGTTCTCAACCTGTGGGTCACAACCCCTTTGGGAGTGGAATTGGAAAACACAGATTCTTACATTATGATTCATAACAGTAGCAAAATTACAGTTACGAAGTAGCAATGAAAATAAATTTATGTTGGGAATCATCACAACATGAGGACCATATTAAGGGGTCGCAGCATTTAAGAAGGTTGAAAACCGCTGGTGTAGAGGGTGAAACCCAGGAATGGAGAGTTGGAAGAGATGCATAGGACAAGAAACTAAGGAAAGGAGTCAAGCTTCTGTAGCCTTTATGGGCTTGCTGTGCTGCCTTCCCAGCATTTTTATGTGTTCCCCAGCTGGGAAGCTCTCTGATTTCCATCATGTCTTTCTGGAGGGTTCGTTATGTATGTGGGTTTGGGGGTAGGGAACCTCAAAGCTCCATACTCTTGTTATGCCTTAGCCTTCCTGTTGTGTTGGCCAGTCCCCACCATGAAGCTAGTAAAGGGCTCCCAGCCAACAGTACTATCACAAGAAGATGTCTAACTAGGCTAGCAGCATATACCTGTAATCTTAGCACTCAGAAGACAGAGTCAGGGGGATTGCAAATTCAAGGCCAGTCTCAGAAAACAAATTACACTAAAGCCAGCAAGGTGACTAAGCAGGTAAAGGAACCTTCTGCCAAGCTTTACCCCCTGAATTTAATCCCAGGGACTTACATGATAGAAAGAGAGAACTGACTCTTGCAAGTTGTCTGTAGCCTCCATTTACATACTACAGCTCAGCCCCCCCCCCACACACACACACAAATAAATAAATAAAATGAATAAATGTGCAATTCAATGGGTATTTTTTAAGGATCCGTGTACCAAGAACTGGGAGAAAAATTATTTATTTTGTCATTATATCACATTGACAAATGACTCAGGAAATTGTCAATAATGTGTTAAACTCTAGTGTGCTCTGATATAGTAAATGCTAGAATTGCTCTTGCTATCTAAAAAATTCCTAATTTTACAATTAAAGAATGGGGCAGCCAGCCAGGCACACTTCTTTAATCCCAGCACTTGGGAGGCAGAGGCAGGCGAATCTCTGTGAGTTCAAGGCCAGCCTGGTCTGCAGAGCTAGTTCCAGGACAGCTAGAGCTGTTCCACAGAGAAACCCTGTCTTGAAAAAAAAAAAAAAAAAGAACGGGGCAGCCATAGCTGTCCATCTTGAGGCCTATATCTGTTTGCTGAGATTCAGTTCCTCCATCTGCAAATTGAACAAGTTATTACTTACCTCACAGGTCAGTTCCAAGTATTAACATGACACCTATCCCAGATCAGTTCACACAGGACAGTAGTCAGCCCTCAGTACAAGGAAAGCAGTGTGCACTTCCAGTACTAGTCACAAATGCTTGTTGACTTCCATGGTCCATTTGGGAGCTAATGGAAAATTGGGGTTCAAATTATATGGTCCTCTAGCAGGGGTTGGTTAATCCAAGACTCCTTCTAGGAAGTGAGCCGCAAGGTAACTCTACCCCACCCTCCAAAGCCATCCATGCTGACTGACTTCTATGTATTTTGAAGTTATATCTGTCTTCTTTGGTAATGGACATTGTACTCTGATATAAGGCTTTGATATGTTAATAAAGATGCACAAGGGGATCCGCCATTGAGACTTCAAAAAAAAAAAACATGACAACATTTTAATATTTTTCAGCTCAAAAGTTTTTAACCAATTGTCATGATGATGGAGAAGTATTGGGGAGAGAGGAACTTCTCTATAAATGGATATCCCTATAGAAAAAAAGATTCCTTCAAATAACTACCTGTTGTTTCGCTTTTTAAAGAATGTGGTCTTTAGCTGATGGAGAAATCTGCTTTTAAATACGGTCTTTGAGTTTGAACTCACAAAAACTGATTAGTTTTTTTAGCATTTGATACCTTTCCTTAGCCATGACATTTCGACTTTCATTGAATATGGACTATTTTCTTCAGAACTGAAGTTTTTCAACTCAAATCAAGCTTAGAAATTCAATTTACCTGGTCATTTAAGAATAAAGTAATGATAAAAGTAATAGTATCACTTTTGAACAGATTTTGTGACTCTGATTCCTCCCAGATTCTCTCAGCCCACCCTTCGCCATCTAATATTTGGAAGGTTTTCATAAAAAATAATTGAATTTCAAGCTATAATTTAAACTTGTGCTATTCTTTGTGAGCCTCTGAAAGGACAGAAAAGTTGTACTTTCTAAACCAAATCAATATCCACTCATATTTCCTGGTAGTTTTCAGGAAGCTCAATTCTAGAAGATCTGCTAAAAGGGAATGAATTCACAAGCATTTAAAAAATGATCTCTACAATTTTTGAACATTTTTTCTAGTTGTTGCCAGGTAAGTATTAGAACAATTAACATGCCATCTGTAAGAAGGAAGACAGTACTTGCAGCTGCCTCTCACCCCAGAATTAGGCTGAGCAGAAATCTCCCAAGCATCCCTGAAAGCTGGAAAGTGTTGTGAGAACTCTATTGTAGGAACACATTTGGGGCCCTCAACACACAATGGCAGTGAGCACTCATGTCAGTGTTAAGGAAATGTTTGGCATTTCTTTCTAGAGCAACTCACAAAATAAAACCTTGATACAATCAGCAGATTCTTCTGTGGAAGGAGCTAAGTTAATATGGCGAAGTATGTGATGTGTGGTCCCCACAAGACATCCTTAATTCCTAAGAGCATGAAGTCTTATTTACTGCCCAAACCCCCATCAGAATCTAAGTTCATCTGAACTCTGGAATTCAAGTTGTTCTCAGTGATGATGAGTGAAGGGAGTGAGTCACATGCCACCTTCACTCTGAGGGGCATCGCACAGTGAAGAGCAGTGAGTAGTAAGAACCGCTGAGTTCACGTACCCGCTCTACCACTTGTCAGCTATATGCTGACACTTTGTCTTGGTGTTCTCCTCTGTGAAATGGGGCTTGACAGTACCTATGCCACAGGGTTGTTATAAAGATTAAATAAATAAAATAGATGCAAACTTAAAATACTGCCCAGTGTATGTATAGTGTGCATATGTGCATTTTGTCTGTATGAGTTCGTTCACTGTGGAATCTCAAGGAGTTTCATGCTGAAGTCTAATAACCCCTGGGGCCTTGTCTCCACAGGGATCATCTCCACATTCCTGCATGTTCACCCATTTGGAGCGAGCATTGAATACATCTGTTCCTACTTGCACCGTCTTGATAATAAGGTATGTGGGAAACTCAAATGGAGACAGAAGGATGAAGGCTTCTTTCTGTTTAGGTGGCCTTACTCTCTTAAAGCATAAGCAGACCAGAGTCCTTATGGATCTAAGCGAGTTTCCCTTACTTCTAGTCTCATTGTGATTTAATGTATAACACCCCTCTTAGAAATAGTATGACTTTCTGTCCTAGTTTGCCTAAAACCAAGAAATTTTCTGAGACTTGAAACTTTTGGTGTTAAAACCAAGGAAATCCCATTCAAACTAAAATTAATTGGCTAGCCTACTCCTAAGATAAATATATGAAAATTCTAGCTTCCCTTTCTTGATTTCCATGCAAGCTACCAAATAGCCAGCAAATAAGCCACTACTTTTTCTCTTAATCATTGAATTTGTCCTGGGCCTCTGGCCATCAGCAAATTGTGATTTATAAAATTGGAGTCTTACCCTCTCCCCATCCCCATTGCCATTACGTGCTATGAAACAGTCGAGGAAGGTGCAAAACGTGATGGGACAATGTGCTGAGGGCTTCTGGATTGTCCATTGGCTAGCGACTCCTAGCTGATCTGTGGGCCATTTATCTGCATGTTATCCTCAGAGGAGGAGCTGACAGGCCACAGGAAGGGAGGGGACATGTTAATTCTCTAGGTACTCAAGGGTACTTCATAGCAGCAGGGGCAGACTCTCAACTCCTCCTTGCAACAAATAAACTCATGATATGTTTTTTTGTCCGAAACAACATTTAGTTAAGCTTCCCTGTGGATTGTATCACTATTTCACTAAATGGGGCCTCCTGGGAAGTGCTATTGAGAATGGGTTCCTGACATTATGTTGTCCAAAATGGTAAATTAGAGAAGCCTTTGTCCTCTTAGCAAAGACACTGGCTATTTGGGAACCTAATTGTCCTAAGCATATTCTAACTTCAGGGATACACTTTCCTCTGTGGCCTTTGTGTTAGTTCTAGATTGCATTACCTCCTTATTTCCCTCTAGGAAGTAATTCTAATCTGCAGCCATATACCCCACTTGGCAGTTAAAGGGATGATGGAACAGCAGTATCAGGACCATGTGATCAGTTTCAGCAGCAGGATATTGAACTATATGTCAGTAAAATTTATCTCATTTTTTTAATTTTTAAAAATAATACATGTTGTCTTTGAGTGCAAACTATATAGAAACATAGTGAAGAAAAAGTGAAATTTCCTATAGTCTTAACTCAAGTATAATCACTGTTAAGTTTAGCCTGTAATTTCAAACCGTTTTCCATATCTACACTGTATCTATCTATAGTATATAGCTAGATCCATTATCTAGTCACATGTTTTGAAATGGGAGTTCTACTCTCTGTGGTACCCTACAGTGTGCTTCTTTCACTTAAGTGGATCTGGTTAATCAGAAGCATTGTGAGAAGGGCACAGCTTCACTCCTGGCCCGGGCCCAGCTCAGCCCCAGCAGCTTCCTGCCAGAATAATGTCAAGATCTCCCAGCAAGGGCTTGAAGGATACTTAAGTTCTGTGTGGCAGTAACTCCAGGCTTCTTTAAGGGTTCCCCTGGTGGTCATCAGCTCCCTGTGCCCAGGCTCACAATTAAGAAGGTCACTATGAATTTAAAAAAAAAAATTAATATGAGAAGAGAGGCCCTTGAGGAATCCACAGACTTGTTTTTGTATGGCGGTGGGATGGGGTGAGGGTGTTGGGGAAAAGAAAGAAATGATGCATCAAAGTAGAAAGAGAGCATTCTTCACTCCTATTACTCCTCCTTTGTGGGCTCATGCATATGTGGAAAATTCTACTCCACTGACAGGCATTTCTGCCTGTCCCTCCAAAAAGACGTTGTAGCTTCAGTGGGCCTGGACACACATCCCCATCACTGAGCTGCCCTCATTCAGTTGGCTACATGCCAAACTTCTCCATGCAACTCATACCAGCTCTTGGCAAAAGCAGTTCAGTGGGCTGTGTCTGGTGGCCCCAGCAGATGAACACACAAATGCACAAGACCAGATAGATTACCCTGCCACCGCCCTCAGGACACGCACATCAGCAGATGACCAGGGATGAGAAGCTGATTCTGATTGGAGGATGTCCTCTCTGTCTCACAGATCTGCACCAGTGATGTGGAATGTCTGATGAGTAGACTCCAGCATACCTTCAGACAGGAAATGACCGGAGTTGGAGCCAGCCTAGAGAAGAGGTGGAAATTCTGCGGTTTTGAGGGCTTGAAGCTGACCTGAATCTCTTTGCCTAGCAATTTGGGATCCTGAACATAAATGTGTGCTGGACAAGCTTAGGACATGATTTTGTATCTCAGTGGTTTTCAAGTGGACGTTGTTTTCAATTTGTCAGTTCATTCCTGAATATCTTTCAAGTTAAAATAAGGATCCTAGAACAGCACCTCAAGCTACAGGTCCTAAAAAGAAATTGCCTCAAACCTCAAGTGCTGTAACTTCCTCCTATTTCTGGCAATTGGTTGTCTTTTCTTATAAGTAATATTGAAAAATTCCTGAGGCTAAAGAGTATTTGGAATGTTTTCAGTGTCTGTACTACTGTTGTAGACCTTGTATGTTTTCAACACTGTTAACTGAAATGTTTTGATGATTTGTGTGTGGTTTGTGTTTCTAGATTTCTCTTCACATGTTGCTGCTTGTAAAAAGGAATAAGGAGTGTTAGGAACTCCCTGTAACTGCCATTGTCTTTCCAGTCCACAGTAAACAGTAAATGAATAATCCATCAGTGTCTTCGCCAAGGTGCTTCACCAGTTCACCTTTAACAAACAAGCATGAACTGTGGCTTTTTGTAAAAGTACTATGAACCAAAAGTTGACAAATGTTCCAAAGTTATTTTCTCTAATAGATAAAAGGTCTATTTCAGAATTTTAAAACAAGAAATCTAGATGGATTCAAAGAAAGTCTCCAGTGCGACTATTGTGTTTGTGCTTTTCAGAACTACTTGTAAATAGTCTGCTTTTAAAAGAGGGCATGTTTAGTTTTCTATGAATTAAAATCAGTCAGGCGTGCGCACACATGCACATATTGGCAGAAAGGATTTATTTTAATAGTCCTTCCCCTCTGGCCTTCTTATAGTCTGTTGGTCCCTTTCTTCCCGCTGTTAGTGTGTTGAATTGCAAACTGTGTACTGCTGTAAATACTGTTTACTTCATGCTGACTGTTTGTAAAGAACTGATGTGAGTATTGAACGTAGTGAACTAATGAATAAATAACAGGCGGGGTGTGTGAGGCGTCCTGCACATATGTCAACTCCCCTCAGAATGCTGACTGACAGGGATAGCTCTGGTTCAGTTGTGCCCATCTGTACATTTCGATGGCCTCGCCAAATTTAAGTGGACCATTCAAGAAGTCCTGCTTGATAGGAAAAGAAAATGGCAGAATTTGAGGCTGTTATCCTGAGGTAAGCTGGTCTTTATTATTTTTGTGGTAGTAATGGTGGTTCTTCTAATTCCACAAGCATGGCCTCCCTTGAGTTCACTTGAAGGTAAGAGAATGCACTGAGTGAGCACAGGCAATGAGAGCATTGCCTGAAAGTACTTTGCAAATGAGATATGAGTAGTGTTCAAAGATGTATTTTTAAAATACAAATATTCCGTTTTATACCTCAGCTTTGTGTTACGTTTTGAATGGCTTGCTTCCTACCTGATTTTTTAGATCATCTCAGGTTCCCTTTGAGTTACCAGGATGTTGGAAGAAGAAGCCAAACTTGCTTGACAACTGGAAATAGCATTCCACAGCAGCCCATTCATCCTGAAAGTTGGCTTGCCCCTTAAGCACCGCACTGTGACCCCAGCAGGAAGCCAGGGTTATTTTTACACTAGCCTCCTCACTGGAGCTTCTGTCCTCATGGCTGCTGCTCTGGAAAGCTTTGATTCATCAGTCTCAGGGGCTCCTGAAATACCTGTTTGACAATATCTGTAAAATCAAGAGAAATTTTCCACTCGTCACTTATTTCTTAAATCAAATAAAATTAAATTTCAAGGCAACAGCTGCCATATACCTAAACACCTCGTTTATCTTCACTTTATCTTCTTTTGTTTTTTTCCCTTGTTTCTTTTTTTTCCTTGAGTCAGAGCTCTCCTATGTAACTCAGTCAGGCCTAGAATTTGCAATCCTCCCACTTCAGCCTTCCAGGATCTGAAATTACAGGCATTCACCACGATGCTTCCCCAAACTGTTTCAATTATGCATTCCAGTTTAGTCCAGGTATAGTTCTCCTAGCATGCTTCCATATACTAGTTGTAATGAGAAAACTCTCTGTCTCAAATTGGTCATTTGTTTGGTCTCATGCCAGGCAGCAAGTTAGTAAGAGGGTATTTCTTCAGATGTGATTAAAATTTAAACCAATACTCTCTGAGTAGTGCAACTTTCCCACCAAATGTTCTTCGTTGAATTCATTCCAAACCTCAAGTGTTGGCTAAGAGGTAACCCCCCACATCCCCAAGGAAGGATGGCTGCTTCCAGTCTACCTTCCTTTGGAGTCAAAAATGCAACAAAAACTCTGGCCATAAATTCTTGCCTGTTGGTCAGCTCTACAAATCTCAACCCTCACATTTGCTTAAGCCAGTTCCTTGAAATCTCGTGTGTGTGTGTGTGTGTGTGTGTGTGTGTGTGTGTGTGTGTGTGTGTGTGTGTGTGAACAAGTGTGCTGTCTGTCTGTATTTTAGTCAGTCCCATTGGTTGTCTTTTCTGGAAAATCCTGACAAATATAGTGCTATAGAGTTGTTAGAATGTAGAGTATAATTGAGCATGGTAGCACAAGCATGTAATCCCAGCACTTGGGAGATAGATGCAAGAGGATCCAGAGTTCAAGGCCATCCTCAGCTACATGCCAAGTTTGAGATTCTGTCCTTAAAAACATCAAACTAGAGAATAGAGTACACTTTCATAATCAAATTGCAGCCTACGCCACCACTACAATCCTTTCCATTTACCATAGAGATTTATTAATGAAGCTATTTTTCTTTAAAAGGTATCAATGCTATTTATGATTGTGTTATTCCCCAAATATTTTGGATATTGGTGTCTTATTATTTATTTCACGAGATACAGTATTTCCAAATAATAATGAATATGAGATTTCTTTTAGCTTTACAAATGGATGTTTCGTCTCCCTCCCTTGTCCTGGGACATCTCTAGTTCTGATTTTTTCATATTACCAAGTTGTTAGTATTGTCAATACAAATGGAAAAAGTTATTTTTCAGAAAAAAAATTAGATATATCTGTGTTTAAGTTGTATAGACTTTGAAAAATTCTTGGTCCCCAAATGTACAATTTGGATATAGTTCAGAGTGAACTGTATTATTTAAAAGGACTGTAGATGTACAAAGGAACTTTTAACTCAATGAGTAGAACCATATGAGCCCTAGGATAGTCGATCAAATACATCTGTCTTCCTTTTGTTTGCCACAATTTCTAATATTAGCTGATCATCTATTATGTACTTTTGCTGTACAAAGTCACCACCTGCCTACATTTCTTTTTATTATTATTATTTATTTTACATCCCTACTGCAGTTTCTGCTCCCTCCTCTCCTCCAAGTCCCTCCCCCCACCCCACCTCCTGTCCCACCCCCATTCCACTCTTCCTCCTTCTCTATTCAGAAAATGGCAGGCCTCCCATGGATATCAACAAAATATGGCATATCAAGCTATAGAAAGACTAAGCACCTCGCCTTTTATTAAGGCTGGGCAAGGCAACCTAGTATGAAGAGTAGGTTCCCAAAAGCCAGTAAAGAGTCAGAGTCAGCCCCTGCTTCCACGGTTAGGAGTCCCACAAGAAGACCAAGCTACACAACTATCAGATGTATGTAGAAGGCCTAGGTCAGTCCCATGCAGGCTCCCTGGTTGTTAGTTCAGCCTCTGTGAGCCCCTATGAGCCCAGGTTAGTTGAGTCTATGGATTTTCTTATGATGTCCTTGACCCTTTGGGCTCCTACAATCCTCCCTCTCTTCAGCAGCATTCCCTGTGTTCGGCCTGATGTTTAACTGTGGGTCTCTGCATCTGTTTCTACAAGCTGCTGGATGAAACCTCTCTGATGATTATCAGGCTACACATCAATCTATGAGTAGAGCAGAATATCATTAGGCATCATTACATTGACATTTTTTTCCCTCCAGTAATGCTTGGTTCTATCCTTGGTCTCTGGGCCATCCAGCCTTTGGGTCCTGGTGCTCCAGATAGTGTCAGGGGTGGGCTTAATTTCCTGGCATGGGTTTTAGGCTAGACGGTGTGGTGATATATTATGTACCCTAATAAAATTTGCCTGAAGATCAGAGGACAGAACAAGCCACTAGATTAAACATAGAGGTCAGGCAGTGGTGGCACATACCTTTAATCCAAGCACTAGGGAGGCAGAGATCTGTCTGGATCTCTGTGAGTTCAAAGCCACCGTGGATTACATGAGATTGATTTAATCTAGGAGAGAAACAGAGCCAGACAGTGGTGGCACACACTTTTAATCCCTGTACTTGGGAGTCACACACCTTGAATCCCAGCACTTGAGATCTCATGCCTTTGCTACCAGTATTTGGGAAGCACACAGGCCTTTAATCCCAGCACTAGGAAGGAAGTGAAATGGCTGGGTGGAGAAAGTTATATAAGGCATGAGGAGACAGGAACTAAGCTTTTTCAGCTAGAGAACCCTTTTCTGCTGGACCCCTTTCGGCTGAGGACTCAGAGACATTTAGTAAGAGGATTCATGGAGTTGGCAAGGTGAGACGTGGCAGTGGCTTGTACCTTTATCTCTCTGATCTTTCAGCATTTACCCCAATATCTGGCTCCGGGTTTTTTATTAAAAGATCATTTAGGAATTTGTACAACAAGAGGAGTCATTGGTTGGCCACTCCCTCAATCTCTAGACCTCCCTTACCCCAGCATATCCCATAGACAGGACAGACTGTAAGTCAAAGGTTATGTGGCTGGGTTGGTGTCCCAATTCCTCCATTGCTGTGGGATGGTCTGTATGTGCTCTGATTGGTCAATAAATAAAACACTGATTGGCCAGTGGCCAGGCAGGAAGTATAGGTGGGACTAATAGAGAGGAGAATTGAGAGAACAGGAAGGAGGGGGGAGACACTGCCAGCTGCTGCCATGACAAGCAGCATGTGAAGATGCCAGTAAGTCACAAGCCACATGGCAAGGTATAGATTTATAGAAATGGATTAATTTAAGATATAAGAACAGTTAGCAAGAAGCCTGCCATGGCCATACAGTTTGTAAGCAATATAAGTCTCTGTGTTTACTTGGTTGGGTCTAAGCGGCTGTGGGACTGGCAGGTGAGAGAGATTTGTCCTGACTGTGGGCCAGGCAGGAAAACTCTAGCTACACTACATTGCAAGTCTTACCTGGTCACAGGAAATGGCCAATTAAGTCTACATATCCCTCATTGCTAGGAGTCTTGGCTGAAATCATCCTTGCAGATTCATGGGAGAATCCCATTGAGCCAGGTTTCTACCTGACCCCAAAAGGCCCCCCTTTCCAATAGTCTCTTTCAGTGCTATCTCCTACCCATTCAACCTGATCACTCATGTTCCCATCCCCACCTGCCTACATTTCACTCATGAAATCTCTTCTATTTCCACATCCCAGGGAGATCCAGGCACCCCCCTTGAACTCTCCTTGTTACCTAGTCTCTCTGGGTCTGTGGATTTTAGCATGGTTATCCTTTATTTCATAGCTAATATTCACTTATGAGTGAGTACATGCAATGTTTGCCTTTCTGGGTCTTGGTTATCTCACTCAGGATGATTCTTTCTAGTTCTATTCATTTGCCTTCAAATTTCATGATGCCATTGTTTTTAACAGCTGAGTAATAATCCATTGTGTAAATGTACCACATTTTCTTGATCCATCCTTCAGTTGAGGGACACCAAGGTTGTTTCCAGGTTCTGGGTATTATGAATAAAGCTGCTATGAACATGGTTGAGCAAGTGTCCTTGTGGTAGAATGGAGCGTCCTTTGGGTATATGCCCAAGAGTGGTGTAGCTGGATCTTGTCATAGATTGATTCCTTGTTTTCTGAGAAACCATCATATTGATTTCCAAAGTGGCTGTACAAGTTTATTCTCCCAGCAGCAATGGAGGAGTGTTACCCTTACTCCACATCCTCTCTAATATAAGCTGTCATCAGTGTTTTTGATCTTAGTCATTCTGACAAGTGTAAGGTGGAATCTCTTAGTTGTTTTGATTTGCATTTCCCTGATGGCTAAGGATGTTGAACATTTCTTTAAGTGTTTCTTGGCCACTTGAGATTCTTCTGTTGAGAATTCTGTTTAGATCTCTACCACATTTTTAATTGGATTATTTGGCATTTTGATGTCTAGTTTCTTGAGTTCTTTATATGTTTTGGAAATCAGCCCTCTGTCAGATGTGGGATTGATGAAGATCTTTTCCCATTCTGCAGGCTGCTGTTTTGTCCTTTGCCTTACAGAAGCTTCTCAGTTTCATGAGGTCCCATTTATTGTCAATTTTAGTGTCTGTGCTACTGGTGTGATATTCAGGAAGTAGTCTCCTGTACCTATGTGTTCAAGGCTATTTCCCACTTTCTCTTCTATTAGGCTCAGTGTAACTAGATTTATGTTGAGGTCCTTGATCCACTTGGACTTG